AACAGGTGGCAGGATGGCTCAGCTAAAAAAATAAAAAATAAAAAATAAAAATAAAAAAAATAAATGAAAGAAGCCCAAACAAGATTTTTCCTGCTTTAGGGCAACTGGAGGCAGAGTCCTAGACACTTTTGAAATGGATTATTTGTGAATTTTGGTTATCTGTGAACTCTCTGCCCTCATCACTGGATGAAACAGTGTAGTAGAATGAGCATCAGGTCAAGAATTAGAATGGGATTATCATGCAAATAAAATTATAACAGAGGCAGCTAACATTTATGCATTGATTTCTGCCAGACACTGTACTTTCTGCCTTTCCTCATTCAGGTCATCACCTCAATCCCAGAAAGCAGGTAGTTCTGTCACCGTGTTTCATATAAGGAAACTTTAAGAAGTTAAGGAACTTGCCCAAATTTGCACAACTGGCATCTGAGCAAATTGAAACTGAGGATCGGTTTCCTCATCAACAAAAAGAGTCGGTGGATGATTTCTGAAGTCTCTTAGAACTCTGGGATTCTGGCATGCTGATGACATGTGCACATATCAATGAGCGTGGGGTTGCTGGCTGGGCTGGAAGGAGACCCTGAAGACTAGCCTTGAGGAAATGTGACAGCTCCCAGACTGCCTGAGTTTTAAGAACCGGAGTACATGTCAGCTGTGTTTTATTAGTTGGGAGCTGGTTCTGGGCCATGATTATTAACAAATGGTGTGAAAGCATTTCAATAATTTCAATAATAACAACCAACATGGTTCTCTTAGTATGCACTTGTTGAAATTTAGCTCTGAAAAAAAAAAGTGGAAAGGGCTGGCCGAGTGGCTCAGTTGGTTAAGAGCTCGCTCAAGAGTTTGAGCTCAGAGCAACAGCGGTTCGAGTCCAGCCCGAGCTGAGTAGCCGCTGAGCTGCCAACAGGTAGCAGGATGGCTCAGCTTAAAAAAAAAAGTGGAAATTTAGCTCTGATGACTAATAACCTTATTTGCAACTTTGGTTACCCCCTAAGAAAGTGGGCCCTGCTAATGAATGGATGAAGAAACTGTGGTATATACATACAATGGAATATTATTTAGCCTTTACAAAGAAGCAAGTCCTGCCACTCATAATACCATGGATGAACCTAGAGGACATTATGCTAAGTGAAATAACCCTGACACAGAAGATAAACACTGCATGATTCCACTTAGATGAAGTAACTAAAGTAGTCAAATCATAGAAACAGAAAATAAAATGGTTGTTGCCAGGGGCTAGGGGGAGGGGGAATGAGGAATTGTTTTTCCATGGAAAGAAAGTTTTTCTTACACAGATGAATAAGTTCCAGAGATCTGCTATAAAACATGGTACCTACAGTTAACAATTATATCAATTATA